AAAAAAAAAAAAAAGGTACTGTGAGGAAAGATTTGATAACAAGCTTGCTCAATTTTCATCTAAATTGGCATGACTCAATGAGTGTGGAAAAATTTATGAATTCTGTTTAGCTGAATTAGTCAATGTGATTAGCATTTAATTGTCCAATCCTACTGATCTTATATTATTACCAATATCATTTTAGCCTAGAGTCTTGACCCATCCACAATTAATTTAGTTCATTTATCCAAATAAATAAATAAAATTATATGTCTGATATATTCAAGAGAATCAAGAATCACTTATATGCTTGGATATAATTTTTTTTGGATTTGTTTGGATTTTTTTGGTTTGGTTTGGTTAATTTTGAAAAATGTGGCATGCTTAGTTGTTAGTGGTATATTAAAATAATATTTAAAATAAAATAATTAAATTTGATTTGACATAAAAGTATGAGAGAGATGATTTGAAGTGATCCTTAATTAAAATTAGGTAAGTGGATGGATAGTGAATTAATGTTGATATGATGTGTAAGGATAATTGGTTGATATTATTCAATTATATTAATAATAGTGGGGTTGAATTAAAGTTGAGTTAAAAAAAGTGGTTGGGTTAATATAGTTTGGAATTTTTTGGACAAGTTTTTCCTGATTCTTTCAAAGTGACAACTTGATTCTATTCCAGTAAAGAGGCGGGAATTTCTACTCCTAAGACAGCCGAACTGACGATTTTCTACTCGGGTCGAGTGTTGGTGTTTGAAGATTATCCAGCCGAAAAGGCCCAAGAACTCGTGGCCTTTGCCAAAAAGCAGAGCTCACAAGTGTCGAACGGCATTTTATCAGACACCGTGCAAGAAAATGCGGGCCCATCTGGCAGCCAATGGGCCTTGAACTCTAGCCCGCGAGAAGGGCTTCCGCCGAGACCACCACCTACTGGTTCTCATAAGGCTGTGGGTATTGCATTGAACACTTGTGAGGTACAAACGAACGATGCAGTTAGAGTAGAACAACAGCAGGCTACTGCAAACGGTTCAGGTAATTGAGATTTATTGCTATGTTAGTTGTTCTGTTTTTTAGCAAAGGGTCCATTTATTTTTTCATTTTGTAGTAGCTCATCTATGGTCGTTTCTATTCGACAATTTCCATTTTCATTTAGGAATTCAATTGAATTGTACTTGTTTTTTTTTTCCATTTTGCTGTTTGCATTTAATTTGTCTTTGATTATCTGATTTATCGTGTAGATTTTCCTATTGCTCGAAGGTCATCCATTCATCGGTTTCTTGAGAAGAGGAAAGATAGGTATATATACAAATCCTTCTTCTTCAATTCCATCTTTTATGCATGGAGATTATTGATTTGTATCATCTAGATTTGTCTATAAAGAGACCTAAAATTATTATTATTATTTCCTGATTTGAAAGTTCAAGAAAAATGATGGGTGTATTTTCAAATTTCAAGGAAAAGAATGCTTGAGCAAGGTAGGCAAGCTATATTTATACAAATTGCATACTTCCAAATAAAACAACATAAAGAAAAGTGTAGATATTTCATTATATATGATGGATCGACCTCGGTTTTGCTATGAAGCCAACAGTTGACTCCATAGTGGAGTCAACCTTCTATATACAACAAGTAAATCTACCATATTCGCTGATCGGATCGACCAAGCTAACTGTTAAGCCGATTCGCAAAGAATTAGTATAAAACTTTTTTATGAACTTGGAAGGACTTGTGGTGGGAAAAGTAGCTGTTAACTTGTGCAATTAAATTCAATTTAATGCAATAAAAAATATGGCATACCAACCTATGGCTTTAATTTAATATCATTTAAGAACAATCTAACCTGTTACAACTGCTATATAATTGCTTGATAAATAGACCAGCACAAGTTAATAAATTATAATTATTGTTGATGGTCTAACTTTATCTTTATTTGTTATCATGTTTTAGGGCTGCTGCTGTAGAGCCTTATGAAGTTCAAGAAGAGCCAGCCTCTTCTTATTCCAAGGGAGATGAACAGCTTGAGCTTAAATTATAACCGATTTAGATGACAAATTTAAATGCCAGCTTTCTTTGAGCTTTTTCATTCTTCTACTGTATTTTTTTTTTTTTTTCAACATGTTATAAAAGTTGATTGTTTTGGCATATTTTCTATAAATTTTGACAACATAATGTACTTTTATCATTTTTATTGATAAGGGGAAAGTTATTGTACAAAAAATGGACTTTAGACAAGTAAGCAGACCAAATTTGAATTTTTGCCGATTGAACTGTATACCCCATGTAGGTCTGTAAACGAAACGACCCGAGCTCGATTCGCTAAATAAATGAGCTCGGGCTCGGCTTGTTAAAGCTTCAGACACGAACTGAACTCGAGCATAACGACTCGAGCTCGAGTTGAGCCGAACTGATAGGCTCGTTTAATTTAACATCACTAACTCATGTAGATGAACGCTAATAAAATATACCCTCGTTGTGTATGTTTTAAACTAATCATTAAGGTGCGCCCATGACGATGTTGGAAATTTTTATACAAATAAATTCGCTCAAAATTAGTGTCTTTGCTTAATCGTAGTTAATTTAAAAAAGAAACTGATAAAGATTAATGGTTAGTAAGATTATGATTTTATATTAAAATACTATTTATAATAAATTAATTAAAGTTAATTTGAGTTAATATTTAAGTATAAATTGAATTTTTTCATATACAAACACCCTCACATCTCACTCCACAAACATTTCCTCGAGCCTGGAAATAAAACCCTTTCCCGCGTGTAAAACCCTAAAACCAAACATTCTCTGCAATTCGCAATTAATCAGCTTTACCATTCGCAATTAGTCAGTCATGGAGGTGGAGATGGAGACTTCTCCCAGCTATTTCGATCCAGAGGATCTCAGCGATAGAGAGCGCTTTCGTAGATACGGGTAATTGACTTTACCCAGCAAAAAGA